ACACACACACACACACACACACACACACACACGCACACACGCACACACATACACACACACACTCATGCAGGTGTTTCTGCTTCCTGCTCCCAGAGCCAGGAGAAGCAAACAGACCAGGGATCATTACCCCAAAATATGCTCGTCATTGCTGGCATATCGCCGCCCGTTAAATTCACTGGTCACCGTTTCCACACGTTTCTTCTTCTATGGTGGTTTTGCCAACGCTTATTTAACCATTATTTTTTGGTTGCTAATAAATCAGCGAGCTAATGAAAACGCGTTTGGGTGGTTTGACACCATCTTAGCTGTGGAGGTTTGGTCTTTTTGTCTCTGAGAAACCAGTCGGTAACAAAGATGAGCTTCCTTCTTGCTAGCGTAACAGAAATGTGCTGGTAGTTTTTAAAGGAAGTGTTCTCAGTAAAGAGAAGATTTCAGTGACAAAGTCCCCGAACGCCTCACCAGAAATTAGGCCAGATGGGGGCGAACTGAACCAGGAGCAAGTGGGAGCTGGCTGTCTCAGAAAACCCCCCCAAAAAACCAACATCATTTAGTTTTCTTGAGTTTAAATTGCAGTTATTTCATCATTAAATTGCTGCTTCAAACTGCTTCAAAGTTACTCAAACTCTCGGAATAACTCACAAGTTTCTCCCACATCTGGATTGTGTCCAGAGAATCTGATTGGGTCGGACAAACGAGTCCAAATTGAAGGAATTTCCAGGAACCGGGTCTCGGATTGGTTGGGTGGACTGGCCCATGTTTCATTGAGTTCTCTCCTATTAATCTTCTGCTTTGTGACAGTAGAAAAACCGCTAACGGTCGTGTGATTGTGTGGAAACTGTTTAATGTTAATGATGTTAGTTTGACTGGCGATTTTATTTAATTTTTTTCTTTTCTTGCTGTAGTCTTTAAGTGTGGCTGGAACTAATTACACGGTTGGTCTGTACTGCCCTGATTGTACCAATAAATTGGTTATCAAAGACGTGAGGAAACGGATAGGAGCCGCCATTATTTCTGACAGGAGCTCATTACACGCCTCCGTGTGATGGATCACAGCCCGAAACGCTGCTGAGAAGCTGGGTGTTTATTCAGAAAATACCTGGCGGCCTCTGGGACTTGCTGGACCCCAGTCCGGCCCTTTTCTGCTGGCCCGGTTCCACGGTGTTCCTCTTTGGAAAGGACCCTCTGAGTATCAGCCGGAGCTTTTTATTGAGGCCGAACACGCCCCCCTCTAGATGTTGTTTTTCTTTATTGAAGACATGTTCCCGTCTGGTTTGAGAATCGTGGAAGTGAGGTCTGGAGACGCACGGCCAAAACTGACTGTGAATTACGATTTCTATAGTTTGGTTTTGAGAGGAACACCTTTGAAAATAAGCACCTGCTCTCGGCCTTCAGGCTGCTTCCCCTCCCTGGTTTTACACTGCAGAAGCCTTTCATATCTGCAAAAAAAACAATAAGATGTAAAACAAACCAGCATTTATTTTTAGCTTCCTTTAATTTCTCCATTGTGAGATCATTAAAGTATTCGTCAATCAATCATTCAATCAACGGAATAATGCTGGTTGCTGCAAGAAGCCCTTTTTTTCTTAGAAGTATCCCATAAAGATAAATTATTTTTAAAACAACCATGTGGAAAAATATCTTTTAGGCCTGAATGATCGGCTGTTTCTGTATCGATAGAATAAACATGACCGATTACCCCTCCTCATCTGGGGCCAAACATGACTTATTTTTTAGTCTGCCCCCTTCCAAAGATGCTGCTTCCAGCCTTTAACGTATGTTAGTTCATCCTGGAATGATTTGATCACAAACTCCGTCATCATTAACGTTCGTAAAACCCCAGTGTCGAAGCCTCG